CGAGTAGTCTCCTCGACCTCGAGCTGCGACATCCCTTCTTCTGGTGGCGCGTGGCGCTCTGCTTCAGCGATGGCGGCAAGTCCGCGGCCCGCAATCGCGCTTGTTGAGGTCGTCGGCGTGTGACAATCCCTGCAGATTCCATCGGGATCAGGGTTGTGAAGCGCCGTTTCGCGTGCGTGGGGGTGATGTGGCACCCACGGCCTGCCGTCAGGGTGCTTCCAGTCCCTGCGGTGGATGTGCTCAAAGCGCAGTGGCACGAGGTCAATGAGCTCGTGCGAGTCGCCGCTGCAGTCGGGAATATCGAAGTCCAGGACGTACACCCCATTTTCGGAGTGTGCTCGTCCGATCTGCCTGCGGGGGAAGTTGCGCGCCTCATAGTGCAGCAGGATATCTCGCGTCGCGCGGTCCGTGCTGAGGTCGACGCCGCAATCCATGAGCTGTGCGGCGGACAGGAGGTTGAAGCGCAGGTTCTGGACGATCAGCACATCGTTAAGCGTGATGTGCGTGCGGCTCCCGCGTGCTTTGAGCACGACGATGCCTTGCGCGCTTGCGCGCAGGCGTGTGTTGTTCGCCACGGTGACGTAGGTGACGGCAGGGGTGGGGACGGCGTTGGATATGTAACGCTCGGAGCCCACCATATGCTGGCCGCAGCAGCTGTCCAGGTACCAGGTGTTGTAGCGCTTGTTGTCGTCACGTGCGAGCAGCGCCAGTCGCGGCGTGACGATGTGCGGAGTGTCGAACTTCAGAAATTGTTCGCGCGAGAGCCAATCAAGTGGCGCCACCCGCATGTCGGGTACGTGCGAGGGGCTTTCAAGCAGCGGAACTGGAAGATTCCAGTCTTGGTCGTCGTCGTCGGTGAAATCGTGGCGCGGGCTAAACGGGTTGTTGTTGGTGAACGCGCCAATTGGGTGCGGTGCCGGCTCAGGTGACGGTGAGCGAACGCGGCGACGACGCGACTCGCCTGTCATGGCCATGCTGCTCATGACGTTGCGAACTGGGGCAGTCGATGACGGCTGCTGCTGCTGATGCTGAACCGCTGGGTTCAGGTTGCGCGCGGGAGGGGGCTGATACCCCTGGGCTGGACGCACGTCGCCTCGTGCGTCTTGTCGGCCGGACCAGGTGCTCGGATTGGTCTGGCGAGGGCGGGATCGGTTCTTGCATCGATCCGCCAGATGCCCGAAATTTCTGCAGATTTTGCAGTAGAGGCGCCGTGGCTTTCGCTCTTCAGTGTTGTCGGCGTAGAAGGCGAGCCTTTCGCGTTCTCGTCGCGGCGCAGGTCGCTGCTGATCCATATCCCTCTGTTCGACGAGAAGGGCGGCGCAGAGGGCGGCCTCCGAGATGACCCCCTGCTGTCGGAGAAGCGCCTTGCAGGGCCGCCACTCTGGGCCGAGCCCTTGAAGCACAATGTTGACGAAGATTTCTTCTGAAATCGTGCTTCCCAACTTCACGATTTGATCGCGAAGGCTCCGACAACGGTTAAGGTAATTGTTGACCTTCTCCCCCGCGGTCATCTTGGTTTCCAGGAGTTCCTGGAGTAGTCGGCTCGAAGAGACAGAGTCCTTGGGCTGGTAGACTCCTGTCAGGTGCCGCCAGGCGTTAAGGGCTGGAGCAGCTGTGGTTTTGTATGAACGAATGTTGAGCTGCTCCGCCGCCGACATGTTCCGCAGGAGCACCCCGTACGCCATCAGCGACTCGTTGTAATACCGTGCCTTGGCGTCGTCGGTGTCCTCAGCAGGCTCCGCGTAGCTCCCGTCGAAATAGTGGAAGATCTGGGCGTTCTGAAGCAGGAGCTCCAGCTCGAAGCTCCAGGTGTAAAAGTCTCTGCCGTCAAAACAGGTACTTGTCTTTATTTTTGATATGCTGAGAAACCTTGATTGAGCGGAGAGAATTGCCTCTTCACTGGGACGGGGAGTCTTGGGGGTTGAGCCATTGGTGTCGAGGGAGAAAGTTTGCGGGGTGGCGTTCTGGCCAGTCGGGGCCGGTTGAGAGGGTTGCGATTATGTTCCCGCATCGCCATTCCGCAATGTTTGGAGCCCTTGCTCCAAGCTGGTGAGTCGCTGAAGAAGTTGTGCGAGAACTTCGGAGTTGATTGTCGTCGTGTTCTCGCTTGTCGCAGCCGGGTTGGGTTGCGCTTCAGCCGTCAGATTAGTTTGACCACCAGATCCTCCGGCCATCTTCACTCGTGAGCGTGTGCCGGACGCCACTTTCCGAATGTCGCAATTTTCGGGAGTGGTAGTGCGAAGGATTCCCGAGCCGCTCTCATACCATGCTGCGATCAGAAGTTGATCGTAGCCCGGGATCTACCCAGGAAGGTTCGCACGCAGTGAAATAGTTGGTGGGCCCTTGACCTCAATAGCAGAGTGAATGTAAATGCTTGAGATAATAAAAACATGCAAACAAAATTATATAAATAAGAGTACAAGGGAATACGAAACGACCTAACTAGCCATGTACTCTAAGGGGTACATTCCCTTATTCAAATTCATTCCCAACCGTGCGGCGCGTACAGTTTCGTAACTGTTCCCGCCAAAACCACCTTGCCTGCAGCTGCCCGATGCTGTCTGCTCCGACGGTCCAGATGCGTCCCAACTGTCCGACGCTTCGAGTCAATTCTAACCGTCTGTCGCTTCGCGTTCATTCTCGTTACTGCGTGCTTCTCTTTGCTGCGGTGAGGAGTGCACAGTAATATCAAGTATTACTATTCGTAACAGATCTCATACATGGAAAACTGGTTATGAAGCATTGTGTGTTTCACAGGTTGGTACACCTGATATTCCATTTTCTATCTTGTGAAATAGTAGGTGTCCTTATGATGCTCTTGCTTAGAATAAATCAGGCGTTAGCTTATAGAGCAGATCCAATCTGTTTTTTACTGTAGCGATCCGTGCAACTCGAGAATGCCCGAATCCCGATAATTGACTGTCGGCTCCTTTCACTGGATCTGTAGGTTGGTTTCTTCCTTACCCAACGCCTCTTGGTCGCATTTCCCGCGTTCGACGCGCCACCTGCCAGTGCTACTCTTGGGAATTCCGTAAGGATTTTCCTTCGTTTCGCCTCGCGGCAATGGCGGCGGCGTCGAGCCGCCAGGGTCCATGGGGAGGCTTGCTGTGCGGCCTGGCGCTGATCTTGATCTGCGTCATGGCTTTCTCGATCCGCCTCTTCTCGGTGAGACTCTAGATCCTACTCGCCGTTGCAGGATCTCGAGGATTTTTACTCGGGATGAGTTAGGCTACTTTTACGAGTTACCAAGGAGGTCCTAGCACGATATACGTAGAGTAGGATTCTATTCTCCGTGACATTTCAGACCGTTGCTCGTGAATTTGATACCAATAAAACAGAACAAAACGCAAGAGCGCCAGTTCCATTGGATGTGGTTCGGTGACACGAAGCTGCTGCCTCGAGCCGCTTTGTATAAAAGCGTCGTCTTGCCCACTTCGCGTACCCGATGTTCAACGATCAGGCACTTGATTCACTGCCATTCACTGCCGGTTTGGCTTCGTATGGAGTTATTTAGATTTGGATCACAAATTTTACCTCTCGTGTCCAAAGGCAAAGCTTTGCTTCAGGCAAACTTTTACCTCTCTGCTTTGGCAACGCACGCTAATCGAGAATACAAGGCGTGCACCGTCGACCCGGTCGATTTCATCTGATGATGGTCCGGCCAGGCCTGGATCTCGCATGTTCGATTTTATTTCCTGCTCTTCATCTAGGACACATCTTACGTACTACTGTTTCTACCCGCGCGTCCTTCGCGGCCGTTCTGCGCATAGACTGAGCAAAGCAGCCACCTACACACGGCCGGGCCATCTATGAGGTGTTTCCATTCAGAAGAATCGGTCATGCTTCTCCTCTTTCTTTTTCGGAATTCGTATTGGGGCATGATTTTCTGTTCATGGGCATTAAGTACGAAAGCATCATTCACAAAATCGACTCGTGCCTCCACGGTGCCATTACCAAGTCGAACCACGCAACATGACTCTCAGATCCTGCGCCTACTCTTTGCTTGCCGCCATGGCAGGTGATCAAGTACGAGAGCGTCATTCACAAGTTTGATCCCTACGTGCACGCGGCGCTGCCGTATTGCTTACAACACTCAACACACCCCTCAAATGCTGTCTCGCCTCTTTCTTCCCCCGCTCTGATGGCAGGTGATCAAGTACGAGAGCGTCATTCACGAGTTCGACCCCTACTTCAACTACCGCGTCACTCAGGTGATTCCCGTCACCCATTTGATTCCCGTCATCCAGGTGATTCCCGTCCCCCAGGTGATTCCCGTCCCCCAGGTGATTCCCGTCCCCCAGGTGATTCCCGTCACCCACGTGATTCCCGTCCCCCAGGTGATTCCCGTCACCCACGTGATTCCCGTCACCCACGTGATTCTCGTCCCCCAGGTGCCTCATATGGCCTGGTTCTTGCTGGCTCGTGCTCGGCCTGTCTCGCTATGGCATCCCACCCAGATGCGTCCGGCACGCGCCCCAATACGCGTTCTCCTATGCGTTCCGCTGCTCGTGCTCGGGTTGTGCGATGAAGTTTCAACCTGCGTCGTTGCAAATCCTGGCGCGCCTCTTGAATTCCTCCTTTCCCCTCTCACTCCCTGTTTCACACCACAGTTTCTCTCAAAGGAGGGGTTCTACAACTTCTGGAACTGGTTTGATGACCGCACGTGGTGAGTGATGGGGGATGCCATGAAATGGCTAGTTGTGGACTGAATATGGGGAGTGGTGGGAGGCGATGGCATGGTGAGCAACGGGGGACGTCCCATGGCGAGGGATGGGATGGGATGGAAGGAGCCACGGCCGTTGTTGTCACCCTGCTGTACGCACCTGTTTCGCTCTGAATGTCACAAACCTTTGCCTTGTTGTGAAACCACCGTCGTGCCCTGCTCGCCTCTTGCCCTCCCTCTCTCTCGTGGCCTTTTGGCATGTCGCACTGGCAGGTACCCTCTGGGCCGAGTCATCGGTGGGACGGTGTACCCGGGTCTCACTCTCACGGCCGGCACCATGTGGTGGTGAGTTGAGGAGGCATGATGAAAGGTGAGGTGTGGACGAGGCATGCACGGTGAGGTGAGGTGAGGTGAGGTGAGGTGAGGTGAGGTGAGTGCGTGGGTGCATCATGCATGGAGGGGAGAGGAGTCATTGGTGGGACGGTGTACCCGGGTCTCACTCTCACGGCCGGCAACATGTGGTGGTGAGTGCAGGTGGCGTGAGGGAGAGAAGGCATGGAACGCATGGTGAATCGAGGGTGTGGGATGAATGAGAGGTTGAGATCATGGCGAGTCATCGGTGGGACGGTGTACCCAGGTCTCACCCACACAGCCGGCACCATGTGGTGGTAAGCGCATAGCGTGATGGCGAGAGGACGTGAGAAGGGTGCGTGGTGAGGTGCTCAGTGGAAGCGGTGTGAGTGTTCACGGCGCCAGTGCTGCATACATACCCCATCCTTCCCATCCCTCCCATCCTTCCCATTCCTCCCATCCTTCTCTTCCATCCCTCCCTGCCAGGCTCGCCAACGCGCTCAACTTCCCGTTCTCAGTGGAGACGGTGTGTGTGTTCACGGCGCCAGTGTTCTCAGCGCATGCAGCGTGGGCCACCTTCCTCTTAGCCAAGGAGGTCCGGGGCACGGGGGCTGGCCTCACTGCTGCTGCTCTCATTGCCATGGTGAGTGAGTGGCTCTCATGTGGTGTTGACTGCTGACTCGACCCATAAGTAAGTGCATGAGTGTTCTCAGCGCATGCAGCGTGGGCCACCTTTCTCTTGGCCAAGGAGGTCCGGGGCACGGGGGCTGGGCTGACCGCGGCTGCTCTTATTGCCGTGGTGAGTGGCTGTTATCGTGGGTGGCTGGCCATTCTCTTGACTGCTGACTCGACCCATAAGCCCACGAGTGTTCTCAGCGCATGCCGCGTGGGCCACCTTTCTCTTTCTCTTGGCCAAGGAGGTCCGGGGCACGGGGGCTGGGCTGACCGCGGCTGCTCTCATTGCCATGGTGAGCGAGTGGCTCTCATGTGGTGGTGACTGCCAAGTTGGGTAATGGCATGGTGCGTCCCACTTTTCTGTTCGTCAAGGAGGATAGGGGCAGGGTCTCGCTGCTGCCATGCTGCCCTTCCTCACCTGTGTGTTTCAGGTCGCGTCATACATATTGTTTTAGGCGAATCTCAAACTCAATTTTGCCGTGCTGTCTCTCTCACCTGTGCGTTGCAGGTGCCGTCGTACATCTCTCGGTCCGTGGCTGATGAGATAACTTTCTGAGGCTCCGTGGTTAAAAGTTTGATCCTCGCCTCGCCTGTGCATGTCATGTTTCAGGTCCCGTCGTACATCTCTCGCTCAGTGGCTGGCAGCTACGACAACGAGGGGGTTGCTATCTTTGCGCTCGTCTTCACCTTCTACCTCTACATCAAGGTGAGAGAGGGACTGTGCATGTGCATATGTAGATGGATGGGCGGGCGTCTGCTTGTGATGCATGTGCACATCAGGGGGAGGAAGTGTAGACGACTGGCCTGGGAGGGGGTGGCCATCTTTGCCCTCGTCTTCACCTTCTACCTCTACATCAAAGTGAGTGAGTGGGTGTATTGGAATGAGTGCGTGCATGCATACCGGTATGTGATTGTTGTGATTCTTATTATTATCAACCTCAACCCTATACGACCAACACTACCCCTGCACTCCCCTTCCCTCAACACCTTGTTGCTGTTTTACGCCACATCCAACGCAGCAGCCTATTTTGACATGGCAATGTCGAGGGGTGGCTACACCTCCATCAACAGACTGACCCTTATTCATAGTCTCCCCTCTCCTCCTCCTCCCGTCTCCCAAACCTTCCTTGCACTCCCTCCCCTCTTCCCTACAGACCCTCAACACGGGTTCTCTCTTCTACGCCACGGCCAATGCAGCTGCCTATTTCTACATGGTGATGTCGTGGGGCGGCTACACCTTTATCATCAACCTCATCCCCATCCACTCATCACCGCCCCTACACTCCCTGCATTCCCCACCAACACAGGATCACTCTTTTACGCCACGGCCAATGCAGCGGCCTATTTCTACATGGTGATGTCGTGGGGCGGCTACACCTTCATCATCAACCTCATCCCCATCCACGTGCTGCTCTGCATCGTCACCGGCCGCTTTTCTTCTCGACTCTACATCGCCTTTGCCCCTCTGGTAAGAATCTTTTGGCTCTCTGATTTGTCGCCCCCTTTGTGAGCGGGTTGGGGCTTCAGCCGCTCCATCCATCCCCATCCACGTGCTGCTCTGCATCGTCACCGGCCGCTTCTCTTCTCGGCTCTACATCGCCTTTGCTCCCCTGGTATGTTGCCCCTCTGTCGACATTGTTCCTTTCGGGAAGCGAGGCATGGTCCGCCGTAGTGTGTCCTTTATCATGCCATGCCTCCATCCCCATCCACGTGCTGCTCTGTATCAGCACCACTGCAGCCTCCTCTGAATGTGCTCCGTGGCTGCACCTTTCACGCCAAACACTCCGTCCGTGCGCTGCACCAGGCTCGCTCCACCCCTCGCTGCAGATCATTTTGTGCACGTTGCTGGCATTGCCAGTGCTGTTCAGCACCTCTGCAGCCCTCTGAGCGTGCTCCGAGTGTACACCTCTCACGCTAACTCCACCCTTCTCACCTGCGTACACCTCTCTCCCCACCCCACGGGCTCCTTGACAGATCATACTCGGCACGCTGCTGGCAGCGCTGGTGCTGTTCAGTGCCTCTGCGGCCCTCTCAATGTGCTCCGTGCGTGCACCTCTCTCCCCACCTCACGTGCTCCCTGGCAGATCATACTCGGCACGCTGCTCGCAGCACTGGTGCCGGTGGTGGGATTCAATGCTGTCATGACGTCTGAGCACTTCGGGGGGTTCCTGGTGAGTGCAGTTCGTGCTTGCGATGCATGTGGTATTGGTGTTTGCAGGAGGGTTCTGGCCCTCGTATGTATTGTAAACCCCCTGTGAATGCCTTGCTCTTCTCGAATGCCGTTTTGCTGCTGCAGACATACACGTTTATTGTGACGCTTAGAGAATGTTTTGCTGCTTTGGACAACAAATTGCGTTTTTGCTGCTGCTGTCTGATACCCTGTTGTCGCCCTCCTCTACTCTCTTATCCTCAGGTCTTTCTGGTGCTGCACATCGCTGCGCTCAACTACTACATCAAGGCACTGCTGCTGTCTTTCCACCGTCTCTGCTGCTTACCCACCTCTTCCTATACCGTCCACCTGTGTGTTCCCCCTCAGGTGTTTGTGGTGCTGCACATCGCTGCCCTCAGCTACTACATCAAGGCGCTGCTGCCTGCTAAGGCCTTCCGCATTGCTCTCACCCTCATTGTATCAGTCGGCACGTACGTTTCTCTCACACTAAATCTCTCACTCACTCACTCACTCACTCACTCACTCTCTCACTCGCTCACTCGCTCACTCTTTGCTCATCTCTTTCTATCTTTTGTATATTGGTCCCCATATTTTCAAAGAACTTCTTACAACACTGCAATGCAATGCCATTAAATGTCTGCTCAGTCGCTCCTTCACCACCCTCCCTTCTCTCTACCTCACTTCCGCGATTTCCCTTCCATTCTTCAGGGTGGCGGCAGTGGCGCTGCTCTCTGCTCTCGTTGCCATGGTGCTCGCCAGCCCGACTCTTGGCTGGACAGGCCGCTCTCTCAGCCTTCTCGACCCGTGAGTGCTGCTTGCTACTTGCAAAGCACCTGCTTGATGCTGACATGCTCTCACAATGTACATGACTTTCAAGGCGCCGAAAAACATAAGAAACTTCCATGTACGTACACAACTCCAAGTCAACTCAAACCCCGTGCTGGGATAAACTGGTTGCTTCCTCAGCCATCTGAATCGGTGAGTGCTGCTTGCTTGCTTACTTTCTTTCTTCAAAGTCCAACTCTTCAACTCTCCACTTAATATCCTAATTCTTTCTTCTCCCCTCCAGCACCCACCCATGCATCCAAGTACATCCCCATCATCGCCAGTGTAAGCGAGCACCAAGGATTGAAAGAATCTGACTACGTTGCGCCCCTCCCTCCCTCCCTCCCTCCCTCCCTCCCTCCCTCCCTCCCTCCCTCCCTCCCTCCCTCCCTCCCTCCCTCCCTCCCCCCCCCCCCCCATCCACAGCACCTACGCATCAAAGTACATCCCCATCATCGCCAGTGTGAGCGAGCACCATCCGCCTGCCGCCCTCCTCGCCTTGATGCAAAACCCCCTCCTTCTCTACTTCACTCCCTCTACCCTCCTTCACAGCACATACGCATCCAAGTACATCCCCATCATCGCCAGAGTGAGCAAGCACAGCAAGGACTTGAGATGCCTTGGGACTCCATTGATTCCCACGCCATGCCCCATTTCCTGCTCACCCCTTACCCCATCCCCACAGCACATACGCGTCAAAGTACATCCCCATCATCGCCAGTGTGAGCGAGCACCAGCCGCCCATGTGGACTTCCTATTTCATGGATCTTCAGCTGCTCGCATTCCTCGCTCCTGCTGGACTTATTGTAAGCAGGGACGCTCATAGGCACACTTGTTTGTCAGCCCACCAGCACCTCACTGATCACAAGCCCCTCACAGCGAGCACCAGCCACCCATGTGGACGTCCTACTTCATGGACCTGCATCTGCTCGCATTCCTTGCTCCTGCTGGCCTCATTGTTAGCACGCACGTTCATAAGCACTCACGTTTGTAAGCACACTACGCACGGTTGTCAATAGTGCAGCACATTCTTCCTGTCAGCACCAGCCGCTCACTGCAAGTACCAACCAATCCCCCGTATGGACATCTTTTTTAACGGATCTGCATTCTCCGTGCCTTCTGTTGTCTCACCGTTTCCTCAAGCGTGTTTCCTGCCCTTGACAGATGCGACCTTCTTCGTGGCTCTTTACCTCGTCATCTCCATGTAAACCCTGTTTTTCAGCCCAGAGCCCAGAGCCCAAATCTCAAAACCTGAGACGTTTTTCTTAAACCCCTGAATTTTAACCCCTTTGTGCCTGCAGGCGTGCTTCCTGCCGCTCACAGACGCGAGCTCCTTTGTGGCCCTCTACCTGGTCGTTTCCGTGTACTTCTCCGGAGTCATGGTGAGTGAATGGGGTCAATGGTGAGTCAATAAAGTCAATGGATTCAATGCAACAACTCTACCTGGTTGTCTCCGTGTACTTCTCCGGAGTCATGGTGAGTCAATGGGGTCAACGGTGAGTGAGAGGAGTCATGGTGAGTCAGAGGAGTCATGGTGAGTCAGAGGAGTCATGGTGAGCCAATGGGGTCAATCGTGAGTCAAGGGTGGCATTGCTAAATCAATAAGGTCAATGGTTATTCAAGGGGGTCAATGGGGAGTCAATGGGGTCAATGGTGAGTCAGTGGGGTCAATGGTGAGTCAATGGGGTCATTGCTGAATCGATAAGGTCAATGGTGAGTCAATGGGTTGTGGTCAGCTGCATGGATTCGTGGTTGAGTCAGTGTAGTCGCAGTGAGTTGATGGCATCGAGGTGGTTAATATGTGACTCAATGAATTGAGCATCATAAAGCCCCCCCATACCGCTCCCCCATCCTCCCACCCGCCTCCTCTCATCCCTACCCTCTCCCAAGTCCATCTGATGCTGGTGCTGGCGTCAGCAGCGTGCATCACAGCAGGCATCGCAGCCAGCGGCCTCTTTAATTCTCCCACATCCTCTGTCCTTTCGCCCCTCACTCCCTTGTTTCTCTCCTGCTCCATCTCCCCCTCATTCCTCCCTTTCAGGTGCGTCTGATGCTGGTGCTGGCGCCAGCAGAGTGCATCACAGCGGGCATCGCAGTGAGCGCCATCGTTCCCCTTCCCTCTGTCCTTTCAGCCGCTTGTTGCTCTTCCTCCCCCACCCCTCTTTCCCCCAGGTGCGTCTGATGCTGGTGCTGGCCCCAGCAGCGTGCATCACGGCAGGCATTGCAGTGATCGCCCTGTTTGACGTCCCCGTCATTCCTTCCCTTCACCCCTCACTTCCTTGTTTCTCTACCTCTCACCCTCCCACATTCCACCTTTAGGTCCGTCTGATGTTGGTGCTGGCGCCAGCAGCGTGCATCACAGCGGGCATCGCAGTGAGAGCTGTGGAGAACTTGATCACCCTTATTTGCCTCTCTGCCCCCCCCCCCTCCCACATTCCCCCACCCCTTCTCAGGTCCGTCTGATGCTGGTGCTGGCTCCAGCAGCGTGCATCACAGCAGGCATTGCAGTCAGCGCGCTCTTTGACGTCCTCACTCGCTCCGTTAAAGCCTCTATCGCGGACCTCATTGACCTGGCGTACGCTGCTGCCAAGCAGGACAAGGGCGAGAAGGAGGACACTGCTGCTGCTGCGGCTGAGGTGAGAAAAGGGGGGAGGAAGGAGGATGTGAGGTGTGTTTTGTTTGTTTGCATGCGAGGTTTGGTTATGAGGTGAGCTGCTCTGTCAACCTCATCGACCTGCCAGCCACCAGGGCAAGGGAGAGGAGGAGGACACTGCTGCTGCCGCTAAGGTGAGAGGGAGGGAGAGGTGAGTCCAGTGGTGAGGCAATGTTGATCTCATGAGCCTTATGAACCCCCATTGCTACTGCCACAGGCTGCCAGCAAGGCAGGCGAGGCGGCAAGGAGCGCAAGGCGGCAAGGGGGGCGAAAAGAAGGGTGAAGAGAGTGAGAGGGAGGGGGGAGAGTTATTGGCTGCATTGACCCCCTTGACCTTGTTGACAATCCTATTGTTTCTGCCACAGGCCTCCAGCAAGACAGGCGAGGCGACGAGCCAGGCAAAGGAGCGCAAGGTGGGAGCGGGGAAGAAGAAGAAGGGCAAGGAGGGCGAGGGAGAGGGGAGAGGGGGGTACCTGATGACCCCATTGACTTTGTTGACCTCGTTGACCTCATGAACCTTATGAAACCCTGTTACCACTGCTGCAGGCCGCCAGCAAGACTGGCGAGGCAGCGAGCCAGGCCAAGGAGCGCAAGGCGGGAGCGGGGAAGAAGAAGAAGGGCAAGGAGGGCGAGGGGGAGGGGGGGGAGTCTGACGAGGAGCCTGCAGGGGGGGTTTCGGGAGCTGAAAAGAGGAAGGGGGTGAAGGGGAAGGGGAAGGGCAAGGGGGGAAAGGAGAAGGAGAAGGGGAAGGAGAAGTTCCCTCTGGTGGTGCCCGGCGATGCTGCAGCTGTGGGCATCATTCTCATGCTCGTGGGGCTGGCGTTTTACACGGTGTGTGCTGGGCTGGGCCAAGGGTGGTTTGCATTCAACACTGTGAACGATGAGACATTTCAGAAGGTGATGCTGCTGCAGTTGGGCAGTGGGGGCATCATTCTCATGCTCGTGGGGCTCGCCTTTTACACGGCGAGTCTAGAGGTGTTTCAGTCTCAACATTGGCCGTGTATCAACATTGGCCGTGCATCAACATTGGCCGTGTATCAAGATTGGCCGTGTATCAACATTGGCCGTGTGTCAACATTGGCCGTGCATCAACATTGGCCGTGTGTTTTACACAGTGAATGATGACACGACCATCCAACAATAGCAAACTGTGGGTTTTCACCCTGCCCTCCTTCCTTCCACATGCCTCTTTCCCCCTCCCTTTCACATCCCTCAGATGCACTGTGTGTGGGCGGCAGCAGACGCCTACTCAGCACCATCCATCGTGCTCTCCTCTCCCACCAACGATGGAGGGCAGTACATATTTGATGATTTCCGTTACAGCAGCCCGCCCATATACGTTCATCCATCCCTCCCCCGCTCTCCCACCTCTCCCATCGCCCCTCAGATGCACTGTGTGTGGGCTGCAGCAGACGCCTACTCAGCTCCATCCATCATGCTCTCCTCTCCCACCAGCAATCGCCAAGCCATAGGTGTTCACCCTTCCCTCCCCTGGTCTTCCATTCCGCCTCTCTCCCTCCCAATTCACAGATGCACTGTGTGTGGGCTGCAGCAGACGCCTACTCGGCTCCATCCATCGTGCTCTCTTCCCCCACCCAAGACGGCGGGCAGTACATATTTGACGACTTCCGTGAAGCATATGGGTGGCTGCGACACAACACGGACGTTAATGACAAGGTGGGTAACAGGAAGCCACAGCATTGCTGGCACTGAGAGCACTGCCCCCATGACACCAACGCCGGAGGGCAGTACATCTTTGACGACTTCCGTGAAGCCTACGGGTGGCTGCGGCACAACACTGATGTGAATGACAAGGTGGGTGGTTTATTGTTGCGTGTGTGCTTACCATCTGAAGCACTGTGCCCAACCAGTGACAGCAATGCCAGCAGTGGTAGCAACGGCACAAGGCAGTACATGTTTGATGACTTCCGTGAGGCGTATGGGTGGCTGCGACACAACACGGACGTCAATGACAAGGTGAGGATTCTTGCTGCTGTGTGTGGTTACCATCTGTAGCACGTCTCCCGACGCCAGCACTGAGAGCATTGTCCGTGCTTCCACTATTGATGGTGTATGGCTGTATGGGTCGATGGCGGGCACCTTTGACAATTTCTTCGAGGTGTATGGGTAGCTGCAATGCAGACGTGAACGACAGGGTGGGATGCATTGCTGCGTGAACGAGTGATAGCCCTGGCCCTAACAACAGCTCTGAAAGCACACCAGTGACGGGGGGTAGCGCATCTTTGATGACTTCCATGAGGCACAACACAGACATCAATGTCAAGGTGGCTACATGCATTGCTGTATGTATCCACTCATAGCGCCACCCCACACATCCTCCTTTCTCCACGTGTCCCGTCTTTCCCACACGCCCTCCCTCTCTCACTCACACGGCCCTCGTTTTTTTATTAGGTGGCATCATGGTGGGACTATGGGTACCAGACAACAGCCATGGCAAACCACAAGGTGATCGTCGACAGCAACACACACCAGCTGGCGTCGCTTTATCCCTCCCCTTTCCCACACGCCCTCCCTTTCCCTCCAGGTGGCATCGTGGTGGGACTATGGGTACCAGACAACAGCCATGGCAAACCACACGGTGGTTGTTGACAACAACACGTGGAACAACACCCACATTGGCTCAAGCTTCCCTTCCCCTCCTCATGTCATATTCACACCACCAGGTGGCATCGTGGTGGGACTATGGGTATCAGACCACAGCCATGGCTAACCGCACAGTGATCGTCGATAACAACACGTGGAACAACACTCACATCGCCACTGTCGGCATGGCCATGTCATCGCGGGAGAAGGACGCGTGGGCCATCTACCGCTCCATCGATGTGAAATACGTCTTTGTGGTGTTTGGAGGTAGGCTGGAAATGGCATATTCACACAACAAAGTTCAAACGCGTTGACGAACACTCACATTGCTGCTGTGAGCATGGCCATGTCGTCGCAGGAGAAGGATGTATAGGCAATGTATCGCTCCATCGACGTGAAATGCGTCTTTGTGGTGTTCGGAGGTAGGTCGGAAACAGCATTCGCACACATCGACGCTCAAACACGCACGCACATCGCCACGGTTGGCATGGCAATGTCATTGAGGCATGGCGATGTCATCGAGGCATGGCGATGTCATTGAGGCGAGAGAGAAGGATGCATGGGTCATCTACCGCTCCATTGACGTGAAATACGTGTTCGTGGTGTTTGGAGGTATGTTGTGATTCGATGTCAATCAGCAGCACACATATGGCCGTGCACTGTGGGCATGGCGATGTCATCGAGGCGAGGGAAAAGGATGCATGGGCGATTTACCGCTCCGTCAGTGTGAAATGCGTGTTTGTGGTGTTTGGAGGTATGTGACAATCACACACAAGTAACCTGCTGGGCATGCTGGGAGGTGGATATTTTGGTGCTGGGAGGGGTGTCGCTCACATCGCCACGGTGGGCGTGGCCGTCGAGTCGAGGGAGAAGGATGCATGGGCCATCAACCGCTCCATTGATGTGAGGTGTTCGTGGTGTTCGGTGGTAGGTCGGCAAACAAACATGTCATGTCAATCACACGCACATCGCCACGGTGGGCATGGCCATGTCTTCACGGGAGAAGGATGCATGGGCCATCAACCGCTCCATTCATGTCAGGTGTTCGGAGGTAGGTTTGATGTTAATAATTTCACCCTCCATGCTTCCCCTCCCCCTGTCCCACAGGCATGGTGGGCTATCCCAGCTAGATAATGATCAACAAGTTCCTGTGAATGGTGCGGATCAACAGCTAGATAATGATCTCTGATCTGCACCATTGCCCCTCCCACCCATCCCTTCCATTCGCCTCTCTACAGGCATGGTGGGCTATTCCAGTGACGACATCACCAAGTTCCTGTGGATGGTGCGCATTGCAACACCTGCACCACACACACTATTCTTTTCCTGCCAACCCATCCCTTCCCCTTCCCCTATCCTGCAGGCACCATGGGGTACCCCAGTGATGACATCGACAAGTTCCTCTGGATGGTGTGAATCGCAACACCTGCACCACATGATCCGTCCTACCCGTCCCCTCATTTCCTCTTTAACTCCCTGCAACAGGCATGGTGGGCTACCCCAGCGATGACATCAACAAGTTCCTGTGGATGGTGCGCATTGGAGGCGGTGTGTTTCCGCGGATCAGGGAGCCCGATTACCTGGTGAGTGCGCTTAGGCGGTTTTTAAACATCTTATAAGTGATTTTAGTTTAGATTATGCGGATCGGAGGTTGTGCGTTTCCATTGGAGGCGGTGTGTTTTCACAGATTAGGGAGCCCGACTACCTGGTACGTACACTGAAGTGTTTGTTTTGTTCTGTTCTGTTCTGTTTTGCTTAGCTTTGCTTTGCTTTGCTTTGTCTTTCTCTCCTTTTTTTGGAATTCTGAATTTTGTGGGGATGGGGATGATCAAGGCACCCAACTCCAATTTCAGATGGTGTGACTGCGAGAGCCTTTCCTCCACCCCTGCTCTTCCCCACCTCCCTGCTCTCCACGCACTCCCTTCTCACTTTCCGGGCCAGCAAAACGGCCTGAGCGGAGGCCACCAGCACGATGCTTTGAAGCACCTCAAATTCCCCATCATCCTCCCCATCCGCCTTCCTCTGCCCTCCCCCTCACTCTCCTTGGTCAGAATAACGGCAACTACCGGGTGGATGGTGAGGCCACCAGCACCATGCCTTGAAGCCCTCATATGCTCCGTCCCATCTCCCTTTCCTCCCCGTCCCCCCGTCTCCCCTTTCGCCCATCCCCTCCCCCTTGGCCAGAACAACGGCAACTACCGGGTGGATGGTGAGGCCACCAGCACTATGCTCAACTGCCTCATGTACAAGCTCTCCTACTACAGGTAAGGGGTGTACTCGATTTAAGCTCATTGACTAGTAGCTCTGCTCAACTGCCTCATGTACAAGCTCTCCTATTACAGGTAAGACATGCACTCAGTACCAGCTCACTCGGTTGTAGCTCTGTTCAACTGTTTCAAGTACAAGCTCTCCTGCTACAGGTTAGACACGAACCCAGCATAAGTTTCACTCGCTTGTAGCTTTGCTCCACTGCCTCATGTACAAGCTCTCCTAAGTATGAAATGTATGGTACTTGATGTACCTCGTTTGTACAAGCTTTCCTAGACTGCTTTCCTGCAGGTCTGTGGAACTTCCTCATGTGCAAGCTCTCCTGCTACAGGCACGGAGCATACTCAATATAAGCTCACTCATTTGAACAAGCTCTCCTCAATTCCTCACTCGCTAGTGCTTATCACTCCATGTATCTGTCTGGGTGTGTTTTCTCCTCCGTGCTGGGTGCTGACAGGTTCGCAGAGGTGGACGGGAGGGGCTTTGACCGAGTGAGACGCACAGAGATAGGCAAGAAGAACATCAAGCTTACGCACTTTGAGGAGGTGAGAAAATGCTTAATCTCTGTTAGAATTTTAGACAGTCAGGCAGAGGCCGCAGGTTGGTGTGGAGTTGTAGGCTCTCTCAATCTGAGTCCGTGCCGTTTCAAGTACCTAAAATCGTTCCCAAAACCATATTTGCGTCTGTCTGTTGTTTACAAACTTCCATTTCAGAAACATGGGCCGTTCACTTATCAATCCTACGGTACTATTTTGTTTCAGGTGTTCACGTCGCAGCACTGGATGGTCCGCATTTATCGCCTCAAGGAGCCCAGAAACCGGCCTCGCGGGACTGGCAAGAGGCTCACACGCGTCTCCGTAAGTAGCTCAAATTGCTTTCTTGCAGTCATTTTTGGGACGTTTCCATCTGTTTATCTTGTGACTTTTTGCATGTTATTTGCCCTATTACCGTAAACCCACTTGTTTCATCAGGCCAACAAGGCGAAGGGTCGCTACTGAAGAGTAGCAGAAGCTTATGATTCTCTTAATAGAGAAGATTTAGTAGCGCTTGAAGAAAAGCAAACTCTCTGACACGCCCTTGTGTTGTGCCATCTGATGTTGCTTTAGAAATATTGTAAGGATAATGGAGAGTTTTTTTCTACAAAAGCAGTGTACATGGCCTGTACATCACCCTCGTAAATGCCGCAAAACTACGGGCCCAGTAAAATCGTAAACCAATCACGTACGAAGAGCTGCCCCTACTTTTGAGACTCCCTGCTGAGTTGTATGTGTTCGCAAGGAAAAAATCGAGAACCACGGTGACGACCACCATCGGCCTCCCTCCCAAAAAATGGCGTTCTCAAGCTCTCCGCCTCCCCGTTTCCGCGTACCTGTGGTAGCAAGACACCTGTGCCCATCTTTTCCGTGCCGAATCTCCAGGTTTCCTGGACCTTCGCTCCTCTTCCTCGGCTGGTTGGTGGTAGGTGTGTCTTCGCTTCTTGCTAACCCACTCACGTGTGTACTTTGCAGGTTGGACAGGTGGACAGTTTTCGTTCGTTTCTCAGGGTTCTGGTTCGTCTGTTTTGGCAACCGTGGGCTGCTGTCGCCCTGTTTCGTTAACCCCTCCCCGTCTGGTAAGTTCCCTTCTGTCGACTTCAGCAACCTCGGATGGAGACGTGGCTACTTTGCGGTCTCCCATTCGCCCTCTCCGGTTGTTCGGCGCCGTACCTACTTTATACAGGTAAGCTCCCCTCCGTTTGGCTTCCCCGGCCCACCTCTGGCTCTCCCTGCTCCGCCTTATCCGTCTGTTTACGTGGCCCTCCTGTGTTTTCCTTCCCGTGCTGACGTGTGTTGGTCGTTGGTTACATGCATCCCCTACGGCCAGCCCAACCAACTCACCTTCTTCTCAACGTTCGTGTTCAAGCCAAGCTGCCTCCTTCCTGCTTGGCGTGTTGGGCTTGCATGGCTTGCTCCCTCGTCAGACTGGCACTCTCTGACGCCAGCTGACTCCCTGAGTGATTCCACACTCGATGCCTCTCACACATTCCTACTTGAGCTGGTCCATCATCCCTCGGTGCGCCATGGCGAAAGCCTTAGCCGCCATGTGCCTCGTGCGCTCCTGCCTCCTTCGCTTTCCATCTCCTCTCGCTATCTCGCGACACGGCTTCCCAAGCAGGAAACGTCTGTCTATTTAGTTTTTTCCCGTTTAGTCATTCCTCGCACCTCCCTTCTGATCTGCTTCTTTTCCTGGCGGATCATGGAGCACTCGTCTGCCTTTGATGCGGTTATGGCAGACAATGCGGGGATCACTCCCTCATTCAGTGATCTTCTTGGTGACGGTTCTCCCGTCGCCAAAAAGGTGTGCAAGGCCGCTTCTTCTTCTTCCTCTAAGCTCCCGGCCGCGGCTCCTCGGCCGGTGCCTGCTACGAACGCGGAAGTCTCCTCCGCTCCCTCTCTTGGGGTCCCTGGCAAGCGTTTTCGCCGGCTGTGTGCTCAACGTGATTCTGTCGGTGAAACCGTGGCGGATGTCGAACGCGACTTCGATTCCCTGGTCGCTGTAATTTTTCCTGACCATCTTGCCGTTCAGCACCGCAAGGATATTGTTAGCTGTATCAAGAAGAGCCTGCGTCGTTCTGATTTCAAGAGTTGGCAGATCCCTACTTTCAAGTCTATGGCTGGTGCTAACCTCAAGTTTGGAAAGAACACCTACTCCCGCCAGATCTTGCAGTTCCCCACAAAGGAAGCGGCTGATGACTTTCGCGCTCGCCCCCCGATCTTCTTCTCGCCGCCCAACGGCCCGGCAGTTGAGCTGAAGGTGTACACCGACCCTGCTCCCGAGTTCACCGCGGCGAAGGAGCGTGGAGAAACCCACATCGTCCTGCGCAACATCCCGTTGGGCCTCTCTGAGGAAAAGCTGCATTCGGCTCTGATGAACGGCAAGAATCGTGACGGGCAGAAGTGGCTCGCGGACCTCAAGCACTTCCACTCGGCCTCCGACCCTTACGAGGAAATGTTTCAGCTGCAGATGCACGGCATCGTTGCTCCCATGCCTGGGGACGGGTCTTTCAGTGTCACTCCACCGCTTCTTTGGATCCCTGGGGTGCGTGAGCCGGTTCTCGTAAACCTCTCATGCCACTCCTGCAGCATCTGCTCGAGTCATCACCGCACTGAGGACCACCACGTGTTCCCGACGCTGCGACGCAATAAGATCAACAATCCGTACGCGATCTCCGTCGCTCAGCTTCAAAATATCAATGATGCGAGGTTATTGTCCATTTGTTTTTCCCGGTTGCCCTGTTCTTTCTTGCCACGGTTGCTTTGGCCTTGATGCTGTTGCTTCCCTGCCGTTTTTCAATCTCTGGATCTTGTGCTGTCGTGTTCTCTTGATTTTTGCCTAAGCCTTGTCCTGCCGGCTTCCTTCCAGCTCTTTTCTGGGAAGTTGTGTACCTTCATCTCAGATTTGTTCACCCTGGTCTGCGTGAGGCCTCGTGGTTTCTTTGCTCTCGCTCTGTTCCCCTCCTTACCTTTCCTCCCTGGCAGCCAAAGCGCTCGGGCACTCGCCTGCCGTCATCAAGTTCAAGCAGGACCTCGGTCTCCTCTTCATCAGCCTCGACAGCGACGTCGAGGCCTGGACCTGCTGTGCCTGCGATTTCACATGTGGCTGGACCATCGACACGGCCCTCGCTCATTGCGACGCGATGCAGCACCTCCGTCGGTTGCAGACCTCTGGCGTGCTCCTGAAGGAGGAGTACGGGGACATGAAAGCGCTCGACTTCCTGAAAAACGACCAGCTGCTGAAATTCATGGCGGAAGAGTGAATTTGCAGCTCCCCTGGGGTTCCCTGTGTCCATGTATGACTCCTGGCTGTTGCTCGCTTCAACACCTTGCGGGGTGTCTCTCCTGCTTTCACAGGCCGCTCAGCCCTAGGTCAATTCTCATGATTGTATCTTTCTCCCTAGGCTGGGTTGCTCTTGCCTGTACCTGGGAAGTGCATAAGTTGTTTCTCTGCCAAGTTTCTCTGACACAATACCCCGTGGATGTGTGTGCTTCGGTACACAAGGGTCTCTATACGGTTTCAAAATGAATACACAACTAACTATACAATGCCTTAATATCAACGGTCTTAACTCCACTTCTAAATGGATGAACTCAAGACCTGGTTACACTCCCCTCCTGACATTCTGGTTCTTATTGATACACGCCTCTCTACTAACTTTACCAAATTGCGGTATAAGCTCAAGCCCACAGCTTATGCTCAAGTTCCACCTGTGGTTACTCCAACCCAAACGTTTCCTGGAGGTATAGCCATTCTGGCTTTCAACCGCCGTATCAAACTTTCGGACAAATTTGAATCTATTGATGGTAGAATTCTTAGTATCCACTGCAATTACCTTAACGAACAATTCCGCTTAATAGCGGTATACGCTCCCTCATACTACTTAGAACGAAAAAACTGGTGGACTGACTCTGTCCTCCCCATGCTGAAGCTCCCTTCTCCGAGCGACTGGACCGTGCTCACTGGGGACTTCAACAACGTATTAGCCCCCTCTAACAGAAACCGACCGCTGCACGCATTTGAAAAAACAGAGGCAGAAATTGTTAAATCAATGCTGGAGGAAGTCGAGCTCACAGATTCCTACCGACTGCTCCACCCTAACACCCCTGCCTTCTCCTTTTTCGCCCCTGCGCGTCTCCCATCCGGCCGTGTCCATACCTCTGCTGCTCCTCCCGCCACTGCTCCGGTTGGAGCTATCGCTGCCTCGGCCCCACCCCCCGCTCCGCCTCCCCCGCCCCCCAAGCCACCCTCTGCTTCCAGGCTTGACCGAACTTACGTATCCAAGTCTGTCTCTTCCCGAGTCTCGGCTGCATCCTACACCTTTGTGCAAGAGTCTCTCTCTGATCACGGCAGGGGGCCGCTCTGTACTCTCTCCTTTCACAACCCAAATGCCGCGCCAAGACCTTGGCAATTTCCTCAACACCTGATACAAAAGCCTCATGTCAGCTCCTTGGTTGCAGAGTTTGTTACCTCACTGCCCTCCCCTCTACTTCCAACCGACTGGGATGCTTGCAAATACACCTTTGCCCAAAAACTCAAAAGATTTACTCGTGAGGAGCGGGTTCGGGTCACCAAGACAATTACCCACATGCAAAATGAGGTCTGTGAACTGCAAATGCACTTGCTGAAGTTCCCCGGATCGGATTCCGCAGGATGCAGACTTCAGCAACAACTTCAACGCGTCCGGGATTACACAAGCTCGCGCTATGCGGAAATCGCTCTCAAAGCTAAATTGAAAGTGGAAGGTCCGAGAGAAATGGGTATTGCCTCCCTCATGGCCGGCCTCAACCGTAGAATCAAAGACTCTCAGATCCCCTACCTGGAGCTGCCCTCCGGGGCACAAGTCTCTGACCTCATCCCTATGACCCAAATGTGTACCGTGTTCTTTGGTAATCTGTACAGTGGCAGCACTCCCATCACTCCCTCTGCCACCTTCTGGAACCATATCTACCCCACGCACCTCCCTGCAACTTGTGCTTCTGGACTAGAGGCTCCAATCAGCTCACCAGAAATTGAGAGGGCGGTCGGTGCCTTAGCAAGAGGCAAAACTCCAGGTATAGATGGCCTTCCTGCGGATCTGTTTCGTGCACACAAAACAGAGCTAGTCCCAGCCTTTCGCAAGCTCATAGACAGCATTCATATGCACAACTGTGTTCCTCCCACCATGAGCGAAGGACGTACCATCCTCATACCTAAGAAAGGCAATACAGCCCTTGTCGAGAACCTCCGCCCGATCACGTTGATGAACGCAGATTACAAAATTTTGGCCATCATCTTGGCCAACCGTCTACAAGGTGTCCTCCCTCGTGTTATCCATCACGCTCAAACTGCGTTTATTAAGGGACGTAGAATCGGGGATACCATCAATGATACGCTCGATATCATGGATTGGGCCCTCACCAAAAAACTCCCCCTGCTCGCCCTCACTGTGGATATCCGAAAGGCTTACGATATGGTCGACCGGGAATTCTTGTTTCGTTGCCTCTCCCGCCTCGGAATCCCTGTCGGTTTTATCACATGGGTCCGCAGACTACACTCCAAAACTCACACTCACGTGTCAGTCAATAACTCCACAGGCCCACGCTTCAGAGTGCTTACCGGTGTGAGACAGGGCTGCCCTCTCGCCCCCCTGCTGTTCGTCTGTGCCATAGAGGTTTTGCAACGTCACCTGGCTGCGGCCCTGCCAGGCTTTGCAATCTCGCCCACACAACGCAGACTCATGGCATGCTATGCCGATGACGTCACTGTCTTCCTCAACTCAGATGCCGAACTCCATACCGCAAAGGCATGCCTGGAGTCCTTCGCACGATGCTCGGAGGAACACCCCAATTGGAGCAAATGCGCTATCTTACCCTTCAACATGGACGGTTCCTCCATCTCCTCCACTGACCAAATCCCCATTCGCAAACCGAATGAAGCAGAACGTATCCTGGGTATCTTTGTCGAACAGGACAACCCGGGCCATACCACGTGGGAACAAATTCTTTCCAAAGTCCGCAACACTGCAAACTCCCTCTCCCGCCTCCACGCTACAACCACTTGCCGGAGTTTGTTTGCCACAGAACGTATGGCCTCGGTGTACGCCTTCAGTGGGCTTCAGCCATCCCCAGCACATGTCGAAACTCTCTTAGACCGCGTCGTCGGTGTGTTTCTCTCCTCATCCAGATACAAGGAAGAAGGGCGGGCACAATGGTACATCCCCAAACGCATACTATACAATAAAAAGAAGCATGGTGGTGTGGGCGCATTAGAGCCTTCGCGTCATCTCGCTGCGCTCAACATTCAACGAGCATGTCGCCGTTTCTTACCAACTCCCTACGAGGACACCGCCCGGGAATGCTGCACTCTTCCCTACGGATTGCACTGCTACCTCGCACACCCCGACATTCTCAAACACTTACCTGAATCGACTCCCCCTCGGGCGCTGGCGGAACTGAAAAGCCTTTTGGACGCTCCTGCAAAAATCTCAAAGCCGCGCTTGGAGCCATGGGTCTTGATGGCTGAGCCAGTGGCTTTTAACAGATTCATTCATAAGCCAGACAAGAAACCTTTTGGCCGTGTTAAAGACGAATTCTTTCTGTTAGATAAACAAATTCGTCTTGGAGACCTTATTCGGCCTGCTCCAGGGGGGTCGCGGCAATTGACACCGTCCGAATTTAGGGCTGTATACCCGCCTAAGAAATACCCAGGTGGTCTACGAATATTGCTAGCCATTTACAAAGCGGTTCCCGACGAATGGTGGGACGTGCTTTACGATTTCACTCCACGGCCGGACTACCTTCGCATTAACGACTGGGCTTTCGAAGCAGACCCAACCGATCGTAGTCCACGGGTGCTTCGGGTCAAGCAGATTTTGGACGACGGGCGTGTCAGATTTGACTGCCATGAAGTGACGCAGGGGAGACAGGTGAACATGACGCCTTCTGGAATCAAGACCTTACCTGCAGCAGCTGTCATTACGGTGTGTGTAATCGGGAAGTGGCTGGCGGGAACCTTCTGCTCGGGAGCGGCGCTCGGAGTCCGACACGAGCTACTTCGTCAACGGCCGTCGCTAGCCACGATTCGTCAGCAGCTCTACAAACCGCAACGCCTCAATCATGTCGATCGGTGGAATGAGGCCCTCTCCTTCACTCTACCTTCATTACCCGACCTCACCCACCCTTTTCTCAAGGACCAGACCAGTCGTCAACGAGACATTCTTTTTCGCCTTTTCTCTCGATCCCTTCCCTGCGGAGATAGGATGCCCTACACCCCCTCCAAAGGCATCTGCACCCGATGTTACGACAATCGCATGGAAACACACACTCACATTTTTTTTTAGTGTGGTAACGCTCCCACAGTCACCTCCGCCTTACAACGGGTGGCCCAGAACCATCTGCGCATTTCCGTCACTACCGAAGCCGTTTTCTTCCCGCTTAACGCCCCCGCTGGTCAAATCGCTCCATGGTTAAAGGTTAAAGGAGGGGGGGAAACCCCTCTGGGTGTTAACCACACCTGGCTGTCGGTCGTAACCCGCCTCCCCATTTGTTTACACTCCTCGCTGGGTCAACGAGGTTGTTCTATCCACTCCCAGATGAGCACCTGTGTAACCCCCTTCTGGGGGGCTGGCAGAACACGCCGCAGGGGGGATTTGATCCCGGGACCTCATCTTTCGGAAGTGAACCAGCTAACTAGCTGGGCCACTTCAGGATCAAATCGCTCCATGGTGTCTGTTGGTAGGAGCAGCAGCAGCTACACTATGGCGGGACCGCTGCTCACAGCGCTATGATAATATCTCCTACTCGAGTGTCGAAACCCTACACCGCATCTTGGTCCTCTTTCTCACCGCTTGCAAATCCTGCTTTTTCCACCGAGGCAAGGGCTCCAAGAAACGAAGACGTGCCACTGCAAAACGGGTCCAAGCTGCCACCCGGCACAAACTTCTCCAATTTCTGCCCAACGGCTCCCCACAAATTCATCCGGAACTTCGGGCATCTTGGCTGCTCCACAGCCCCTTCCAACCACCTTAAGCGCGGGCCTCGGTTTCTACGTATAGCACAGAGTGGGCAGGACAAACTCTCCTGTGTGTGAACTTAGTTCAGCTAAATAAACGCTAGGTTTTAGCGTAGGCCTCTGGCTTGGGTTACTCCTTGTTTAGCCTCTGTGTTGTCTGGGTTACGACCTTAATAAAAACTTAAACTTAAAAAAACTTGAAACGTATGTGTTCGCAAGGTATATTTACCAATCGCTGAACTACTGCCACCGCTGTCCCACGTGGTTCCCAACAGCCCGATTTGACCCCGAAACGTTCTGGCCTTTCCAGCAACCAAAACTTGCCAAGTGGCGACAATATTGCTGCAGCTTGCTGGGCGAGGAGCCTTGCCCAGCGAATGTTTCCTATAGCGGGTACAGAACTACCAGCACACCGCAACGGACATATCTGGCTTCAAGCCAAATGCTCCAGGATTCATCAGAGCTCCAGGTCCTGGCTATTTGCTTGACATTCCGATTTTTGTCAGGCGATCCACATCCAGGGAGAGCGTAGCAGCGGGGTGCAAACCAGTGTCGCTGCGTGTCTTGTGTTCTCTGGTCAATTTCCCGGCTTGGCTGACGGCCATGGCGTTCTCGCGGAGTCTATTTCGGGCAGCAAACGCCGTGAAGAGGGTGGGTATATGCGTCGTCATGCTTACTCCTCTGTGCAGGATGAACACTAGAATAAGAAAAACATTAGCTTAATATGTTCTTACAATGTGAGCTGTCTGTCGTGTTTTCATACTTTCCGTGCTATCGCATGTTAAGCCAGTCATGTTTCTTTCATGATGTCAGAGCCAGAAGGATGGGAGTTTCTCGCGGCTGTGTAATCAGGCATTTCGCCCATTGACCACGGTAAGCGACACGAAATAAAATATGGAATTCTCGCCGAACTTAAGTAAATGCTGAATGTATGGAAGATAGGTCTGGGTCCACAATTTTGCCTGATCTCTTTCATGCCTGACCCCTTTCCATGCCTGATCCTTACCATGCCTAATAATCATTCCTTACCGTATCCCTTCCCATGCCTAATCCGTTCCATGCCTGGTCCGTTCCATGCCTGGTCCGTTCCATGCCTGATCTCCACCATGCCTGATCTATTCCATGCCTGATCTATTCCATGCCTGATCCCTGCCATGCCTGATCTCTGCCATGCCTGATCCATGCCATGCCCGATGTTAAAATAATCCGTTCCGCTCTCCTCTACACGTCTGGCGTACACATGAACTCTGCTGTGGTCAGATTCGGATGAATTTCTGAAACGCTTGACGTTCTCTCATCCATGCCGTTCCATTCGTCCGTGCTTCCAACGCTTGTGTTTCAGGAGCTGCACGCGAAGCTGCAGGAGGTGGTGCCGCAGCAGCAGGAGCGCATTCGGCAGATCAAGTCGCACTACGGCAACCTGTCCATGGGCAAAGTCACCGTCAACATGGTGAGCCGCTCTCTCCCTCTCTCCCTCAGTCTCATCGTCTGATTACCGCTTTGATTTTACTCAGGTGCCGCCTTTATCTTCTCACTATATTCTACGCTCGAAACTGCGCTCAACCCTTGCGGCTACACACACGTGGTTGCATTTCTCATCTTCGTCTTTCTTTCCGTCCTATCCCTGCTCATTTGTGTGAGCAGGCGATTGGAGGAATGCGAGGGGTGAAGGGGTTGGTGTGGGAGACTTCGCAGCTCGACCCTGAACAGGTATGAAGCAATTGCATGGGTTGCAGAGCCAAGTTGTGAGCCGATCTAGAATACAACTCGACCCGTATAGACGCACAAATGCGTCAGCCAATGCCTTCCCCCACCTTGTCGACCTCGTACCTTCTCCACTTCCCCACGCTTATTCTCTGCTTCCTCCCCTCCCTTCCCCAGGGCATCAAGTTCCGCAGGTACAGCATCCCCGAGTGCCAGCATCTGCTGCCCAAGGCCGTGATAGGCGGCGAGTGCCCTCACCCTCCCCTCTGCCCCCCTGCCTGCGCCCATCCTCTGTTTCTTTCCTCCACACCACCCCCCTCTTCCCCCTCCTTTCCCGCCACCCCCCCCCAGGGCATCAAGTTCCGCGGGTACAGCATCCCCGAGTGCCAGCACCTGCTGCCCAAGGCCGTGATCGATGGCGAGCCCATGCCCGAGGGGCTGCTCTGGCTGCTGCTGACGGGCGAGGTACGCTGCTCACACACATAGACAGACTGTAGAATATCCCTCACGCGTACACAAATGTTTTCCTTTCCCCCAATGCCAGCACCTGCTCCCCAAGGTCGTGATAGACGGCGAGCCCATGTCCGAAGGGCTGCTCTGGCTGCTGCTGACGGGAGAGGTACGCTGCGCGCACACATAGACAGAATGTAGAATATCTCACACACGTGGACAGATTCTTGCCAATCCCCGAGTTCCAGCACCTGCTGCCCAAGGCCGTGATTGATGGCGAGCCCATGCCCGAGGGGCTGCTCTGGCTGCTGCTCACCGGCGAGGTACGCTGTTCACATACGTGCATATGCATACACACACTTACTCCGCTTTGTGCCCTGTCAACCTATCAGTTGCCCACCAGAATGAAGGCAACCACAGTAATGCAAGAGGTGTTCTGAGTTGTCTCTGAATACACCTCGGCTGTGCCCTGTTGTCCCCTCGGCCCAAACCCACCAGGTGCCTACCAGAGAGCAGGCGGCCACAGTCACGCACGAGCTGCACGAGCGAGCCAAGATGCCCGGTACGTTGTTTGTGCAGGGGGCGTGGCAATTAAAGTTTCCCAGTGCGTCTTTTGGGGGGCGTGGGTTCCCTAGATGGCTGGTACAATCCGAAGGGTGTTTAGGGAATGCTGATTTTTCTCGTCTCATCCTCCATCCCTCCCGCCTGCCGTTAAAACCTATCATCAGAAAACGTGCAGACGGTGCTGAATGCGCTGCCTCAAGACATGCACCCCATGACGCAGCTGTCCATTGGCGTGATGGCTCTTCTTCCCTCTCTACCTCTCCCTTCCTCCCTCCCTTCATTCCTCTCCTATCAGCGTGATTGTTCTTTTCACACAACTTACACCCATCATCAGAGTACGTGCACACGGTGCTCAACGCCCTTCCCAGGGACATGCACCCATGACACAGCTGTCCATTGGCGTGATGGCTCTTCTTCCCTCTCAACCTCTTCCTTCCTCCCTCCCATCAGAGTACGTGCACACGGTGCTGAACGCCCTGCCCCGCGACATGCACCCCATGACGCAGCTGTCCATTGGTGTGATGGCGCTGCAGAAGGGCAGCCGCTTCGCCCGCGCGTACCACGAGGGCATGCCCAAGAGCAAGTACTGGCACCTCGCTTATGAGGACGCTTTGGACTTGATTGCGACCCTGCCCCAGGTCAGTGCCCAGAGTACCTCTGGGTTAGTGCTGGTATGGCTGCGTGTACTATGAGGGCATGCCCAAGAGCAAGTACTGGCACCTGGCTTATGAGGACGCTTTGGATTTGATTGCCACGCTGCCCCAGGTCAGTTCAGTGTGCCCCGTGTTCATGATTGCATCGAACCACGAGGGCACGCCCAAGAGCAAGTACTGGCACCTCGCTAACGAGGACGCTCTGGATCTGATTGTTACTCTGCCCCAGGTCAGTTGCTGGCACTCCACGGTAACTCTTGATTGCGTTCTATACCAAGGTACCACGAGGGCACGCCCAAGAGCAAGTACTGGCACGTCGCTCATGAGGAAGCACCACGAGGGCATGCCCAAAAGCCAGTACTGGCACCCGCTAGATCTAACCACGCGCTTGTCCTTGTTGCTGCTTTGTGTCAGGTGAGTTATACGGCACCTCAGCTATCAAATGGCGAACATACATGCAACCCCCCAATCTCCTGTGGTGGCAACGCACAGCACGAGTTGAGGAATGGAAAGATCACCTCACCCAAGTGTGCTGCTTTTGAGCATGCTTATTGGTGCTCCTCCTCCCCCTGTCCATGTCTCTCACGGCAAGATCATCCCGCCCAACGACAAGCTGGACTATTCTGCCAACTCCTCTCATTCACCCCATTGCATTGCTTCTTTTCCAAACCCTAAACCTGTTCGTTGGGTAGCAGCAGGTAGCACACCTCTACAGGCACACGTTCAAGGACGGCAAGATCATCCCACCCAACGAGAAGCTCGACTTGAGTATGCAGCCAACCCCTCCCATTCACCTCGTGGCTTCTTCCCCAACCCTAAACCCTTTAAACATCACCAGGTGGCAGCACACATCTACAGGCACACGTTCAAGGACGGCAAGATATCCCACTCAACGAGAAGCTGGACTACGCTGCCAACTCCTCCCATTCACACACTGCATTGCAACTTCCTCAAACCCTAAACCCCTTGAAACCCACCAGGTAGCGGCACACATCTACCGGCACACGTTCAAGGATGGCAAGATCATCCCGCCCAACGAGAAGCTGGACTATGCCGCCAACTTCGCCCATTCACCTCGCTACGTTCCCACTCCCCCAACCCCTAAACCCTTCATCCCCCACCAGGTGGCAGCACACATCTACCGGCACACGTTCAAGGACGGCAAGATCATTCCGCCCAACGAGAAGCTGGACTACGCTGCCAACTTCGCCCACATGCTGGGGTTTAACGACCCGCAGTTCCATGACCTCATGCGCCTCTACCTCACCATCCACGCGTGAGTGGGCTTTACTTCCCTTGAGTACTGTGCTCGAACTGATTGCGCTGAGGTCTTGAGTCGCCCACATGCTGGGGTTTAACGACCCGCAGTTCCATGACCTCATGCGCCTCTACCTCACCATCCACGCGTGAGTCCATGCGCTCTTCTATAAAGCCCCCCGAGGCCTTTTACTAGTAGCCCGGGGTTCTCACCCACATGCTGGGGTTTAACGACCCGCAGTTCCATGACCTCATGCGCCTCTACCTCACCATCCACGCGTGAGTCCATGCGCTCTTCTATAAAGCCCCCCGAGGCCTTTTACTAGTAGCCCGGGGTTCTCACCCACATGCTGGGCTTCAACGACCCGCAGTTCCACGACCTCATGCGCCTCTACCTCACCATCCACGCGTGAGTCCATGCGCTCTTCTATAAAGCCCGCCGAGGCCTTTTACTAGTAGCCCGGGGTTCTCACCCACATGCTGGGCTTCAACGACCCGCAGTTCCACGACCTCATGCGCCTCTACCTCACCATCCACGCGTGAGTCCATGCGCTCTTCTATAAAGCCCCCCGAGGCCTTTTACTAGTAGCCCGGGGTTCTCACCCACATGCTGGGCTTCAACGACCCGCAGTTCCACGACCTCATGCGCCTCTACCTCACCATCCACGCGTGAGTCCATGCGCTCTTCTATAAAGCCCCCCGAGGCCTTTTACTAGTAGCCCGGGGTTCTCACCCACATGCTGGGCTTCAACGACCCGCAGTTCCACGACCTCATGCGCCTCTACCTCACCATCCACGCGTGAGTCCATGCGCTCTTCTATAAAGCCCCCCGAGGCCTTTTACTAGTAGCCCGGGGTTCTCACCCACATGCTGGGCTTCAACGACCCGCAGTTCCACGACCTCATGCGCCTCTACCTCACCATCCACGCGTGAGCCCATGCGCTCTTCTATAAAGCCCCCCGAGGCCTTTTACTAGTAGCCCGGGGTTCTCACCCACATGCTGGGCTTCAACGACCCGCAGTTCCACGACCTCATGCGCCTCTACCTCACCATCCACGCGTGAGCCCATGCGCTCTTCTATAAAGCCCCCCGAGGCCTTTTACTAGTAGCCCGGGGTTCTCACCCATATGCTGGGCTTCAACGACCCGCAGTTCCACGACCTCATGCGCCTCTACCTCACCATCCACGCGTGAGTCCATGCGCTCTTCTATAAAGCCCCCCGAGGCCTTTTACTAGTAGCCCGGGGTTCTCACCCACATGCTGGGCTTCAACGACCCGCAGTTCCACGACCTCATGCGCCTCTACCTCACCATCCACGCGTGAGTCCATGCGCTCTTCTATAAAGCCCCCCGAGGCCTTTTACTAGTAGCCCGGGGTTCTCACCCACATGCTGGGCTTCAACGACCCGCAGTTCCACGACCTCATGCGCCTCTACCTCACCATCCACGCGTGAGTCCATGCGCTCTTCTATAAAGCCCCCCGAGGCCTTTTACTAGTAGCCCGGGGTTCTCACCCACATGCTGGGCTTCAACGACCCGCAGTTCCACGACCTCATGCGCCTCTACCTCACCATCCACGCGTGAGTCCATGCGCTCTTCTATAAAGCCCCCCGAGGCCTTTTACTAGTAGCCCGGGGTTCTCACCCACATGCTGGGCTTCAACGACCCGCAGTTCCACGACCTCATGCGCCTCTACCTCACCATCCACGCGTGAGTCCATGCGCTCTTCTATAAAGCCCCCCGAGGCCTTTTACTAGTAGCCCGGGGTTCTCACCCACATGCTGGGCTTCAACGACCCGCAGTTCCACGACCTCATGCGCCTCTACCTCACCATCCACGCGTGAGTCCATGCGCTCTTCTATAAAGCCCCCCGAGGCCTTTTACTAGTAGCCCGGGGTTCTCACCCACATGCTGGGCTTCAACGACCCGCAGTTCCACGACCTCATGCGCCTCTACCTCACCATCCACGCGTGAGTCCATGCGCTCTTCTATAAAGCCCCCCGAGGCCTTTTACTAGTAGCCCGGGGTTCTCACCCACATGCTGGGCTTCAACGACCCGCAGTTCCACGACCTCATGCGCCTCTACCTCACCATCCACGCGTGAGTCCATGCGCTCTTCTATAAAGCCCCCCGAGGCCTTTTACTAGTAGCCCGGGGTTCTCACCCACATGCTGGGCTTCAACGACCCGCAGTTCCACGACCTCATGCGCCTCTACCTCACCATCCACGCGTGAGTCCATGCGCTCTTCTATAAAGCCCCCCGAGGCCTTTTACTAGTAGCCCGGGGTTCTCACCCACATGCTGGGCTTCAACGACCCGCAGTTCCACGACCTCATGCGCCTCTACCTCACCATCCACGCGTGAGTCCATGCGCTCTTCTATAAAGCCCCCCGAGGCCTTTTACTAGTAGCCCGGGGTTCTCACCCACATGCTGGGCTTCAACGACCCGCAGTTCCACGACCTCATGCGCCTCTACCTCACCATCCACGCGTGAGTCCATGCGCTCTTCTATAAAGCCCCCCGAGGCCTTTTACTAGTAGCCCGGGGTTCTCACCCACATGCTGGGCTTCAACGACCCGCAGTTCCACGACCTCATGCGCCTCTACCTCACCATCCACGCGTGAGCCCATGCGCTAATCTGAGCCCTAAACCTTCACCTGCCAGTCTCTTTTCTCTGCGACATCCTTGCCATGGCATCCCATGCCATCATGCCATTCTATGCCATCATGCCATCCCATGCCGTCATCATGCCATGCGATCATGGCATGTCAGGCCATGCAATCATCTATCGTGTGTGTGTCTTTGTGCCCGTGTATGCATGTGTGCGGGTGTGTGTGTGTGTGCATGCATGCATGCGTGTGCGTGCATCTGTGCGTGTGTGGGTGGGTGGGCCTGGGGTGTGGGGAAGGGAGGGGGGGGGAGGGAAGGAGGGGTGAGGATGGGAAGGGAGAGGGGGGGGGGAGGGAAGGGGGGAGGTGGGGGAGGGAGGGGGGAGAGGGAAGTGAGGGGGGAAGGTGTGTGTGCGTGTGCGCGTCCTTGCGTGTGTGCATGCATGTGCGTGTGCCCGTCCCTGTGTGACTCATGGCAAGCAGGGATCATGAGGGAGGCAATGTCAGCGCCCATGCCACCCACCTGGTGAGAACAACAGCCACACAGACCCATCCCTCATTTTCTCCCATCCCCTCCTCATTGTCTCACCCACCCAACCCCCTCTTCATCCCTTTTTTTTCTCACCGGCACACCTTTTTTTCAACCCCACCTCATTGTCTCACCCACTTTCTATCTCGCCAACTCCTCGTCACCACACCGGACCGCCCTAATTCTCTTCTCCTATCCCCACCTTTCTCCTTTCTCCTCCTCAACTTTATCCTCTCGCATCTCTCTCTTCCTCCTCCTCCCTCACCCTTCTCTCTCCCTCACCCCGCACCTGAGCGCCTCTCTCAATCCCAAGGCAGCGCTGTTGTCAGCTTCGCTGCTGGCCTCACTCCCCTCTCTCCTCTTTCCCCTTTTCTCTTCGCCTGTCCCTCTTCCCCTTTTCGTCCTCTCCTCTTCCCCCACCTGACTGCCTCCCATCTCATCCCCACCAGGTGGGCAGCGCCCTGTCAGACCCCTACTTCTCCTTTGCTGCTGGCCTCAATCCTCCTCTCTCCTTTCCCTCCGTCTCTCTCCTCTCCTCTCCTCCCCTGGCTGCCTCCCATCTCATCCCCATCAGGTGGGCAGCGCCCTGTCAGACCCCTACCTCTCCTTTGCTGCTGGCCTCAATGGTCTGGCGGGTCCTCTGCACGGCCTTGCTAACCAGGCAAGTCACGGCTCATGACTGAACATGATTCAAAGGTTCACTAAGTCTATGTTCCAAGCTGCTCATCTCATGCCTGGACATGGATTTCAAGAATTCACTGTGCAATGTGGGTGGTGTGACACTCCCTTCCATTGTTATTCGCCAATGCAGTGCGGATTGAGTTGATTTACTTCAAAGTGTGAGAAGCCTAGTCGCAGTAGCAGCGCTCGGAATGCAAATCTCCCTCACATTCAACTATCACCTCACCCCTACTGTCTCCTGGTTCTCCCCATTCCGCTTTCCACCGCCGCTTTAACCTCTGCCCCCAACCTTTCCCCACAACAGGAAGTGCTGCGCTGGTTGGAAGAGGTAAAAGCTGACGTGGGGCCGGACGCAGGCAAGGACGAGTTGAGGGACTTTGTGTGGCGCACGCTGCAGAGCGGCAAGGTGGTGCCGGGCTATGGCCACGCTGTGCTGCGAGTTACAGACCCCCGCTACAGCTGCCAGCGCCAGTTTGCGCTGAAGCATCTTCCTCATGATCCGACCTTCAAGCTGGTGAGTGCGATGCCCCTATTCTAGGAGTTTCCAAGGTGGTGCCGGGCTATGGTCACGCTGTGCTGCGGGTGACTGACCCCCGCTACAGCTGCCAGCGTCAGTTCGCTCTCAAGCATCTTCCTCATGATCCGACCTTCAAGCTGGTGAGTGCTTGTTGTTTTTTCATTAGGAGTTCCCAAGGTGGTACCGGGCTATGGCCATGCTGTGCTGCGGGTGACTGACCCCCGCTACAGCTGCCAGTGCCAGTTTGCGCTGAAGCACCTGCTCCATGACCCCACCTTCAAGCTGGTGAGTGCGATGCCCCTATTCTAGGAGTTCCCAAGGTGGTGCCCAGGCATGGCCATGCAGTGCTGAGGGTGACTGATCCGCGTTACAGCTGCCAACGCCAGTTTTCGCTAAAGCGCCTCTTCCACGACCACACACCCAAGCTGGTGAGCTCTTCGTATTTCCTTATCTCTACGAGGTGGTGTCCCACAAACTGCTCGAGACAGGTGAGGTGAAGATCCCCTGGCCCAATGGGGACGCGCACAACACTCTCACTTCCTTGTGCATTGTCTCCCTTACCTCCTCTCCCTCCCTCAGGTGTCCAACCTGTACGAGGTCGTCCCCCATATTCTCCTCGAGACGGGCAAGGTGAAGAACCCCTGGCCCAACGTGGACGCGCACAGTGGCGTGCTGCTGCAGCACTACGGGCTCACCGAGGCCAGGTGGGTGGCTTCGCTTGTCCTCTAGTGTAGTGTGTGCTGCTGCAGCACTACAGGCTCACTGAAGCCAGGTGGGTGGCTTTGTTTGTCTTTCAGTGCAGCACCCCCTTGTGCACCTTGCACACTGCTCAATGCTGCTCGTCAGATGTTTTATCTCTACCACCTTATTTTTGCCCTCCGTTGTCTCCCTCCACTTCCTTCTCATTCTCACACTTCCTCTCCTTTCTGCCGGCCCCCTCTCTCCCCTCTACACAGTGCTCTTTGCCATCTCTCTTTGCCAACCCTAAACCCTAAACCCGAAACATATTATCACCTCTCCTCCCCTATCACTTTCCCCCACTGCCTCTCCCTCCCCCCTCCCCTCTCTGCAGCTACTACACCGTGCTCTTTGGCGTCTCGCGAGCCATGGGAGTGCTCTCTCAGGTGGGTCTGTTGCTCTCAGGTGGGTCTGTTGCTCTCAGGTGGGTCTGGTGCTCTCAGGTGGGTCTGTTGCTCTCAGGTGGGTCTGGTGCTCTCAGGTGGGTCTGTTGCTCTCAGGTGGGTCTGTTGCTGCAGGTGGGTCTGTTGCACTCAGGTGGGTCTGTTGCTCTCAGGTGGGTCTGTTGCTGCAGGTGGGTCTGTTGCACTCAGGTGGGTCTGTTGCTCTCAGGTGGGTCTGCTGCTCTCAGGTGGTTGCTTGGGCAGGTAGGCTACTCTCAGGTGCAATTCCATGTGTCGTCTCAGTGACCTCCGAAACTACCGAAACTATTTAATCCCTTATGGTGCAGTCTATTTTCCTTGCAATGTTTTCTTATGTTTCCCTTTTTCTTTCCCTTTACCTTTTCTTCTCCCTTCTCTGCTTTTACCCCTCCATCCTCCTTATCCTTCCCAACTGATCGCGCGCATCCCCTCCTCGCATACCGTCCTCCCACCTCATTCCCCTCCATCTCTGCACAGCTTGTGTGGGACCGCAACCTGGGCTTCCCCATCGAGCGCCCCAAGAGCATCACGCTCGACTGGAGGGTGCATCACCATCTCTAACACCCATCCACTCCTGCTCCTCCCCGTTACCCCCCCTCCGTCTCTCTGCCTGCAGCTTGTGTGGGACCGCGCCCTGGGCTTCCCAATTGAGCGCCGAGCATCACTCTTGACTGGACACACACAGTTCCCATCATCTTGTTCTTACGTTCGTCCCTTACCTCCTCCTCTCCCCTCCCATGTCTGCGTATGCAGCTCGTGTGGGACCGCGCCCTGGGATTCCCCATTGAGCGCCCCAAGGGCATCACCCTCGACTGGGTTCGCACAAGTCCCAACATCGCCCCGATAACGAGTCCCTGTCGTTCCGTTCCTCCTGTGTCTCACTCCATTTGTACCTGCATCTCTCTGTGCGCAGCTTGTGTGGGACCGCGCCCTGGGATTCCCCATTGAGCGCCCGAAGAGCATCACACTCGACTGGATCGAGGAGTTTGCTTCCGACAAGGCACACGAGAAGGAGCTGCATTCGCATGACAAGGAGCAGCACGCGCACGAGCACAAGCACTAGAGAGGATCACAGGCGCATGCTCACACACACGAGCTCATCCCGTTTCCCATCATCCCACACCACCCAGCCCACAAGCCCATCCCACGATCACGGCCCACGATCACGGCCCACTTGCCACCGTCGCTTGAATCAAACACACCCATCCGACACCCCATGCACAGATGGCTGGAAAAGATCCCGCAAACCCTATCATTATAGGTTCACATCCACCCCCCATCCCACCTCCCCAACCATGCCCGGCCGAGTAAATAGAACCTCCCATCACCCATCTGTCCATCCCCATGACTGTGTGTTACCATGCCTTAGTTAGCCACTCTAGCACTAGGTGCTGTGTGCACAGCAGTGTTCCTCTTTACCTCGTGTCTGTTAGGTTATCACATTACAGCTGTATATTTTGAGTGTAGCCATGTAGTGAGGACATAAAACACACCTATGGTACCACTGCTGCTGGCTCTCAAATGAAAGTGTCACCAAGTGCTCTGTCTGTACTCGTGTTTACACAAAGCAGCAAATTGAGAAAGCTTGCTTTCTTTCTTATCAATTGGCATCGTTCTCATTACAAATGGCGTATTACAACATTTGTATCATCATTCGACACAAGCTAGTGCGGACTAATAACGCTAGCTAGGATATACCCTATCCAAGTGGCATTAGCAAGGCGGTTTACTCTGGGGTGGGTGGTGGGAATGTTGAGTGAGCCGTTTGAAAATTGAGAAACGTGGGTGGAGGGAAATGAGCTCCAACCCACGGTTTTTGTAGTTGGAGAAGGGCGTTTAGCGCGCTTCGACGATGCCAATTGTGCAGTACAAGCAGCTTCGCTTTCACAATACACAATTTTAAAAAACACTACATGTGTGTTTAAAAATTATAATTTTAACACACTCCCTAGGCACGCTATGCCTAGGGATGGCATACCGTACCTCTAAGATCATCGGAGGATATCAATGAGGCGGCCAGGCAGGTTCAAATTGCCTGCTGCATAGTTTCACTCTTTGGGGTAATGAACAATATTTAACACGTATAAACAGCATGCACAGTGTGTAAAGAAGCAATTATGTTACTGCATACAGCATATATTATGAACTATAAGCATAATAATATATATTTCACATATGAAATACCATGTACAGCATATTTAGTGTTGCGATCATGTCCTTGCATAACTCCTGCACCTAAGTCCACACCTCACTGCACACCCCTCAACCCCTCCACACATGTGCATACACTTCCCACCCTTTCATACTTCTTCGCATTTTCCCCAGACCTGCTGTTTGTATTTGCTGCACCCGGCCTCCAGTCAACCCCACCATCACCCCCACCTCCTGCACAGTCTTCCTCATCTCATTACTTCTCTCCCCCTGCTCTGCACAACGAACAAAAATTTGCCGCCCTTGTTGCCGCCCAGCGTGGCCCCTAAGCCCATTTCCCCCACAGTTGCAATCAGCTGAGCAGCCATCTGTCAGGGGTGCATCACTTGGGCGGCAAATCATGGCGAGAGGATCTGCTGGGTGGCAGTCTTCTAAAAGAGAGTCTGGCAGGCCGAATCTGAGTTGAATGACGGCTCGCTCTTTCGGTGAGAGGCCGAGAATGGCTCGTTTCAACGCGCCCTGTAGCTCCTGCTGCATGTAACGAGTCTCAGGGCACTCTACAGAGGGATCAGGGATGGTGGACTGGAGGGAGGGGAAGGGAGGGGGGGCTTAATAGGGGGAGTGGGGGAGGTGGGGGGAGGTGGGGTAGGTGGGGTCAATGGGGGACAAGGATGGCTAAAATGAGATGAATGGGATGGTGAGATGAGAGCAGAAAGCGATTCGTTTACAGGGGCAGGCTTATAGACCAGGAAGCATGACGCATGGTACCTGGTATACGGTATGGGTTGTGTGGTGCATGGTGCATGGTGCATGGTAGCGGCACTCGGTACATGGTGTATGGTATACAAGGCTATGGAACACGCATGTACACTCATTTTACATGACCTATGTCTCACACATTCACCCCAAGACTCTCCCCTCTCCCTCGTCCCCTTCTAGAGTAACTTTTGAGAGACTCCAAAGTCACCTTCTCAAATACTCACCCCAAGACTCTCCCCTGTCCCCGCGTCCCCTTCCAAAGACCGAGGCAAGCGCACAGATCCTGGGGTGAGTCCGCGCTTCTGATTTGACTCGACCAGTGGTGCTGACGTGGACAGCGTTGGTGACGTGGACGATGGTGCTGTCGTGGATGGATGTGCGCGTTGACGGCGGGCGAGCATGTGCTGACGGTGCAAGTACGCCTGAAGGGAGGAGGAGGGGGATTGGAAGGCGGGGGGATTGTGGGAGGATGAGTAGACGGATAGGGGAAGAACATGTGTCGCACATGTGGTCAAGGATATGTGCATGTGCCACGTGTATGTATGTGCCACGTGTATGAGCATGTCTGTGCATCATGCATGTGTGCATATGCCACGTGGCACTCACAGGCAGCTTGATTATGGACGACTGATCGACGGCTGATTGGATGATGCTGTGTCGGATCCACCAATAACAGTACGTGGAGAGCCGGAATCCACGGTCAGGATCGAATAATTCTATACCCTTTATAAGCCCCCCGTATCCCTGTCAGAATATTATGCTCTAGCCTGTAGTGGGGTGCTCTGTAGCGAGTACAACCCTTCTAGGGTTTGCTATTTGTATCCCCATTCTTGCTAGTTCAGTCCTCTCTTTTGCCTTCATTCTCTCTTGCCTAGCTAGGTCAACCCTAGCTATGGCTCCTCAGTATACCTACTATCACGACATGGTATCAGAGCGAAGGTCTCGGGTTCGATTCCCGGTGTGTGCACTTCGGGCATCCCAGTGCGGGGGGGTGTCAGAGGTCCACTGGGGATCCCCGATGATCCTAGGGAAGGGTTACAGGCACGTCGGCCTGGGGGGTTATGGGCGCACTCACCCGCTATATAAACAAGCCCTTTTATCCCAGTGGTTAGTGACTGGGATTCTGACATGGTATCAGAGCGAAGGTCTCGGGTTCGAATCCCGGTGTGTGCACCTCGGGCATCCCAGTGCGAGGGGGTGTCAGAGGTCCACTGGTGATCCCCGATTGATCCTAGGGAAGGGTTACAGGCACGTTGGCCTGGGGGGTTATGGGCGCACTCACCCGCTACACAAACAAGCGCCCCGGACTACAGGAGTAACTGGCTCCGCGGCTAAGAAGAGCGGCAGACGAGCAACGGACCCACGGGCGACTGGCGCAGCTGGCTACGACTGGGCTACCGGAACAAGCGCCCCGGACTACAGGTGCTGCTGACGACAAGACGGCAGCCTCCGGTCAACCTGGGCTACGACTGGGCTACCGGAACATCGTGATCCACCCTGAGCTTGTACTGCTTTGTTTCCTCTGCTGATTACACCCCACTTTGGCTATGGGGGTGTGTCAGAATATTATGCTCTAGCCTGTAGTGGGGTGCTCTATAGCGAGTACAACCCTTCTAGGGTTTGCTATTTGTATCCCCATTCTTACTAGTGCAACCCCTC